AACACATCTCATACGGATCCGAGCCGGTCAGCTCCAAGAATTTTTCTAGTCCTGGCGGAAAGAGTAGTGGATTAGAGCCCGTTCGGGCTGCTGTGGCTGTCAGCCAGCTACAATCGGAGTTCATCCAAAGCTAGCAGCTGGGCAAAAGTGCCGCAAACAACCAAACCTGGATCAACACCAGGTGCGATCACATATTGGTGGCTCTTCTTGTCCTGCGCCAGAAGCAACAGGGTTGCGAACGGTTGAGCCATCTTGGAACTGATCGACAGCTTTACCCACAAGCCCAACTTTCCCAGCACTCCGACGGTCCCCACTTCTGGGCACAATGGCGGCGCCACCCTTCCTTGGATGGAAGAATGGGCAAGGCACATGATGTTCAACAACACTTCATTCACAAGTGCGACATGGCCCTAAAAACCGGAAAAACTGAGCTGGGAATAGCTGGGATATCACAGGATCATTTCCTTGAGTGGCCATTCTGAAAAAATAGACCAAACAAAAACAAAGCACCATCCATCAATATAGTAGGGATTTACAGGGATCATACGTAATGCTTTTTATACATACCAGCGGCCATTTCAGGTACCTGATTACTTAGTGAAGGTATTGTACCATATAAAGCGATATCTTTGTGACATATCCATTACGGAAATATGGTAGGTGCCTCTTACAAGTAGGACACGCGCAAGGCGGGTGGCGAAAGTTTCCAGGTTTAGGAAGTGTAACGCTACAGGATGCAAAAACGAGGTTTGCCTAGAAGCTGCGGCAGACTTCCATGCTCTTATCCGGGGCTTCTGACCTCTCGCCGCAAATTGTGAAACCACCTCAAATCTTCCAACGACTTCTCACCTCTTGTAAACTCTTTTCAACCACCTGCATTTCTGTGCACATCTTCTTGGTTCTCCTCAACTCTCTTTTCATCTCTTTCTTCTCCTCTCAACTCCTTTCAACTCGTGTTGGCTCACCTCACCTCAGTTCCACCTGTCCAGTTTTTCTCAGCCCAGTCGAAGTGACACAGTTGCAAACTTTCTTGTTCAGGCCAGTTGAATAGCCTTTCCGTTCGATCATGGTTTCAACATTCGATTGTGAAATCATTCTCGTGCCATGTACTATCATTCATTCAATCCTACTGGGCTGTTGGCTGTTACCTGTGGGTGCAACGTTCAAGCACGTTTGGGCCGCAGCCAGGTCACGTCTGTCTGGGGTTCGGCAAAACATGCCCTTTAAACATGCCAGGACCACAAGAGTGAAGCTTTTTCGCACAGAAGCGTTCACACAAGGAAGCTTTTGCACATGGCAAACTGTTACGCAGAGGAACTTGTACAGAAAGAATCGGTTTTACACAGAGAAGCGTTTACACAGAGAAAGTGTTACACAGAGAAAACTGTTATACGAAGGAACCTTTAGACAAAGGAAGCTTTACACCAAGCAATGTTTTACACACAGAAGCTTTTACGCAAAGAAGCTCTTACACAGAGAGGCTATTACACAGAGCAAGCTTGTACACAGAGAGGCTGTTGCACAGAGATGCTTTTACACAGATAACCTGCTATCCTGAGAAGCTCTTACAAAGAAAGCTTTGCCACAGAGAAGCTGTTACACAGAGATAGCGTTTACACAGAGCCAGCTTTTACACAAGGAAAGCCCTTAGACAGAGAAGCTTTTACACAGAAGAAGCCTGTTACACAGAGAGAGCGTTTACACAGAGCCGCTTTACACAAGGAAAGCCATTGTACAATGCGATTTACGACTCTCAGCTGCAAAACACAAAAGTATTACGCACGCAGCCGCAGCAGCGAGGAACCTTAACACAGCCATTCCACTGCGATCTGCAGAGACTGAGTTGCAAAACACAAAAGAAATACGCACAATGGCTAGTTACTCAAATTGCAGCTCCAAAACCGGATCTCGACGCCCATGCACAAAAGCGATGATTTTGAAGCACTTTTAAAAGACATTTTAAAAGGAAAATCATCAGCGCCAAAATGGAGAAAAACTTGCTGCCAAAGCACCACTCGCAACTTTCACGCAATTAACCACTACAATACGATTTACGACAGGGACTTGCAAAACACAATAAAATCGCAAGACAGTATAATTCAGAGCATGTACCTTTCGAGACACCCTGACGCAGCCATTCCACTGCGATCTGCACAGATTGAGTTGCTCTGGACGCACTGATCCCTGGGCTAGTGAGAATGTGACTTCATGATCTCTTACGGCACATGCCAAACTGGACACAATGATCTCTGGGCTAGTGAAAATTTAACTTCATGATCTCTTGAGGCACATGCCCACTGGACACAATGATCTCTGGGCTAGTGGGAATGCGACTTCATGATTTCTTGAGACACATGCCCACTGGACACAATGATCTCTGGGCTAGTGAGAATGTGACTTCATGATTTCTTAAGGCACATGCCAACTGGACACAATGATCTCTGGGCTAGTGAGAATGTGACTTCATGATCTCTTGACGCAGGTGCCAAGTGGACACAATGATCCATAACTCAGAGTTTCCTCCATGAAACTTCCTTTGATTATCTCCGATTTAGGTACCAAAACTGGCAATTAAACATGTTCGCTGCAAACCCTAGGTTTGCCCGTGGCGAATCCCGCATATCCTTTGACTTGCTCAAATCCCTGCGTAGCTACGGTATTAAGTTTTTTGACTTTCCAAAACAACCTAAAACCCAAAACCCTAAATTAAAACCCTAAATCCTGAAAACTTAAAGTCAAAATCACTGCGCATAGCCAGTGTTTTCATTCACCCTCTGGCGATAAGTATATATTGTTTGGATGTGTTGTTTGAGTGTGGGCGAACCCAGGGGTTGGAGGGAACATGTTTCTATTCTTGTCATTTGTTTGGGACACTGAAGAAACACAAACTGACATAGCTATAGAAAACGGATGAACGTGGCCCATTTTAGTTCGATGATTTACCTCTTAAAATTGTGATTGTCCATTGCAAACTCTTAGTTTACCAGGGTAAATCCGCCAATAGTCCATTGATATTCCCATTAGATTCCCATTAGCATCTCATTCTCCATCAATATCCATGATATTTTATTCCATTAATCATTCCATGATCATCCATTAATTCCCTCCCCCGATTGAGTATCATTCATATCCCAGAATCATCTGCGGAATTGCTTATTCGACACATCTCAATGCACCAATATTCCATGAAATCCCCCCAAAAAAACCATTGATACCGTAGCATGAATGTGATATATTCATCCCAATATCAAAATATCCATAATATGTAATCCATGATATTAATCTCGCTGCATATCATTATGTAATAATGAATACCCATGGATAATCATGATATCATTAATATGATATTCATCCCAGAATCATAATATCCATAATATGTAATCCATGGTCTTAATCTCTCTCCATATCATTATATAATCATAAATACCCATGGATAATCATGATATCATTCATATGATATTCATCCCAGAATCATAATATCCATAATATGTAATCCATGATATTAATCTCTCTCCATATAATTATGCAATAATGAATATCAATGGATAGCCATGATATCATTAATATGATATTCATCCCAGAATCAAAATATCCATAATATGTAATCCATGATATTAATCTCTCTCCATATTATTATGCAATAATGAATATCCATGGATAATTAATCATGATATCATTCATATGATATTCATCCCAGAATCATAATATTCATATACATAATATTAATCCATGAATCTCTCTCAATCGCCCCGAAGAATTCAGCTATGAAAAAAACCACCGCTCCATTGCCGCTCCATCCCCAAATGCACAATGTTTATGGATGTTTATGGGTGGTATAATCATTATAATCCCCAAATGGAAACAACAAATTGCATTGAGTATACCGGTATACCACATTAATATCTACTATCTGGTTATGACTCACATAGCCATGGAAAATCACCATTTTTAATAGGTAAACCATCTATAAATGGGCCATCTATAGCCATTTCCCATGGCTATGTTAGTCATAACCAGAGGGTATGATTTCCCAAAATCACCCCTAGATGCCATCACATCGGTCCCAGCGTCTTGTTCTTCACCACCCATCTGGGAGGTGGTAATCCTAGCTGTAGGGAGATCGTCCAAGCCTGGCTTCATGTGGATTCATGGTGATTCATGGTAATTTCATTGGATTGTACAATACATCGTTTTTCATATGTTGCACATACCATCAGTTTCCTATAACTTCAAATGAATGGGAAGCAACATTAGACATACAATATTAGTTGGATGGGGGACCATGGGGGAATATCGATTCCGTCCCCTCGTCACCAACACACATGAAAGTTTGAACGCCCTTTGTGTTTGTACCAATGTTCGCTTTTAGTCTATACATGACAACCCAATCAATAATGGAGAACATGATGATGATACTGTGTAAATCATTCTTTTCGGGACAGCCTATATATCCGACGTTTGAGAAATCCCTCCAGCAGAGTCACTAGAGTCACTAGAGTCTCTGCTGGCAAGTCTTCTCCATGGTTCCCCATTTTTCACTGATAAAACCAAGCAGCAGAGTCTCCCTTGTAGCTCCCTTCCTTGTGGGCAAGGCTCAAGCACCACTCTTCGCCCCACTGCCATGGTAGGTGTGTTTTAGTCTGCAACAATAGGCCATCCCCAGATTTACATATTGACATCAATCATATGATCACATCCTCAAATGGTAGACTTTTCGGTTTTATATGGGATTTACAATGGATTTACCACATGTGTTTTACATCTATTGCAAGGTTTGTTCTTGGGCTTTACGCTAGGTTTACAGTATCACTGGGTTTACATATGATTACATACCATGAAACATCCCCTGAAACTTTCTTGGTCAAATCCCCATATAGTATCCTACTATGATTTGGGGATTAATGTCAGGTGCGAATCATTACTGGGGGAAACCCACATTTACACATCGTATTACCCAGTAATGTTTTATGGGCTTTATCTGGGAAATACACATTTACATAAGTGAAGGTTTATTCTTGGGCTTTATAAGATGTTTTTTTTTCCCCGGTGTACCCATCATTACCCATCACTCAAAAAACCACGGCTCCATCCGCATCTTTGCGTCCAAAGAGAAGGCGGGGCGTGTTAAGGTGGCCCAATGGTAGAGCATGATGCCTGCCGCCGTGGCTGGCGATTGCTGTGTTTTTCCTTCTATCTTCTAGGGTGCTAAAATAACCATAACAGCAATGATTGCAATTGATAATGATAATACGTAGGTATCTAAATGCGATATATTGAAAATATAGCCCGAAAATTGCTTTCCAAACATTTGGGATTGCACTTTTGAACTGGTACCATTGGATATGTTTTAAAACAGACAGCCCGGTGGCGGGCTCAGCGCCTTCCAAGCTGATTGTCTGACATCCAGATAAAGGCTGCTTTCCGTAGATTGCGTAGTGGCCTGAGCGTGGCTTTCTCTGAAAATAGGATGCTACTAAATCATACTCCGCTGGTTGATGATCATTTTCCCTAGTAGATTTGCTATATGTTGCTATAACTGGGGGGGGCATACCCGATTCACGCACAAGCATTCTTCACTGATCACCGGAAAATAACACGCATTTGTTTTTTGCACATTTTGTGGCACAGTACATGGGTCTTGCGCTGGTCTTGCTGTTTCCTCTTTGCCTATTCTGCAGCACGATGCAGCAAAAAAAAGGCTGTGGATACAACCTCACTGTATCTGACTGAGTCCATGAGTAAGAGATCCACAAATCTTTGATCTTTTAAGAAAAAATGGTAAGGCTAATCTGCAGGATCCAACAGCACCAAGGTGCTGCGAGTGCTCTGAAGTGGCCGGTACTTTTCCAGCGTCTGCATGGCACCCAAGAGCTCATTCTCCGGGCTACGGATGTAGCTAAACTTCCTGCCAAAAAACGATGGGATTTCTTTTGGTCTTGGGGACTGAACATGGTGTTTTTACATGTTTTTACTGTGTTGTTTCTTTTGAACCACCGTTTCTTTGGCAATTTCGCTAGGGGAAATGATGATTGACTATTGAATTTCGATGCCCTCTTTTCAGACCAGTCCGTATACGTAAACCTTGGGGCCTTGGGTAATTTAGGAAAAAACTGCGGGATGGTGGACACACCAAACCAAAAAATGTGCTTATATATCTCATAGGAAAAAACGAGTTTTTAGATGTCACCATTCGCGATCAAAAAGATTGGTTTCACCAGCCCCCCCAAAAAAATGAACATTTCCCCTCTGGCAGCGGAAATGTTCTGTTGGGAGCCCCAGTTATTGTGGATAGCCACCAAGCATCGAGATACCTGGTAACATGGCAATGGAAAGTCTCATAGTCTCATGGACTAAAATGCCAAAAGCTCCAGAAAAAGGGGAAAAAACCAGCCGATATGAGATCGAATGATTTTTCCCTGGAAGGGATTGCAGCATTTTGGCCCGGGCCATTGTTTCCATGTGTTTCCATTCCGATTATTCTATATCTGAGAACAGCATATAGGTGCTTGGCACCGCGAATCATTGTGGTATAATAATATATAGATGTGGTGAAAATATAGTCAACCTAATAAACCTAGCATCAAAATGCATAAAACCCGAACAAAAACGCAGTACATCTAAACCTACTGGTACCACAATCCCCAACAATAAACACAGTAAATACGTGTCTGGGTAAATTATAATAATTCACTAACCTGAATTAAGGCCATTTGGGGATCATTTCCCTAAAATAAACCATGATTTCCAGGGGCTCGGTCGCAGTGAGGTCGTTATAATTTACCCAGATACGTATATAAATACTATATTAATCATGGCCATCGTGCAGCATTGGCCGTTTTCGCAGCCCGTCTTGAAGGATCTGTGGGGGCAAAGCTCCAAGCGTAGCACGCAAGTGCCACTGTGCATCACGGCAATCCTGGGTTCTGCAGAGAAAATCCTCAAGGATTGATCGTGTCTGATGGGTCCAAAAAGGATAGCGGCTAGAAACCATCAGAAAGCCATAGAACACAACAACATTCGGCCATCTCCGGCCGCTTTGGAATGTTTTGGACACCACATTTTATGAAATTTTGATCTTACAAATAGACCACTTGCGAAAGATCCTCGGAATTAGAACTGAAATCTAGGCAGCTAACCGAAACACAGCAAATACACACACACACATCTACAAGGATTCCACAGTATGCATAGGCCTGCATAGGTATATGCGAAACAAACAAATAGAGATCCTGAGCAAGTAATCAAATATATCAAATCAGCTACACAATTTAAATATAGTTAATATGTTACTAATCATTATACATTTATATAATATAAATATGTTTCATATTGATTCATATTGTGTCATTGTTTCACAGCATTTTCGACATATAAACTTTCGATTATCTCTGATTCAACAAGGACCCGCCCCCTCTCGTACTCCTCCCCAGCCTGGAGAATTGCCGATGCCAAGTGTCTTTTCGTGCATCCCAACCCCTTCATCATAGTCAATCTGGCTTAGGCAAACACTCCAAGGCGTCACCCAGTACGACTCACAGCGTCGGCTGGGTGGCATGCCTCGGATATCCATGTCACTAGTAGATTGAAACTACCATTCCAAATGTTGGTTGAATTTAATAAGTTTTATTTGAGGAAACCCATGGGTTGCTGATGGTTTGCCGGGTTGTGTGGACAATCCTGGCCATGAAACCAGTGTTTCCACCCAGGCACATTCAAGGAATGGCCCCACCGGCCGTGGGCTTTGAGCTGCGAGGAAATCATCAGGGTTGGGCAACTTCCCCTCACAGCACCCCATCCTGCGTTGGCGTTTCACGGCACCTGTGAAACTGAGCCAAAACGCTGAAAAATACACGATGCCAGGATGCCAGCGCTGGAGCCCCAATCCATTAGCTAAGTGGGTTTGGAACTATAGTCACGTGGATTTTTGATGGCTATGGCTATATCTATAGTCAGATGGGTTTTAGATCAACTTATAACTAGGGTCCCCCTTCCTGTGGGAACGGTTTGGAATATTGAGGAATCAGCTTCAGCCCTGTGACACAGTCGGATCCCTTCGTGTCTAGAAATTGCCAAAAAGATTCAAAAAGTAAGGATACAGATCAATCTGGGGAACACTCTTGAATACACACCCATTTCATAGCAAACATGCCGCTACATACCGAGTTTGATCTTCACATGCCGTAGGCACCACGAACCCCTGGGCACTTCCCTCGGACGCCTCTATGAAGGGATCCTGACCAGAGATGGGTGGGGATATGACCTACGCAGCCATATTCTACTGGGATGGTTCTGCAAGTGCTTGGAGAAAAAAAAACCTGTTTTTTTTGGGGGGTGAGTCTTGTAGTTTTACGTTCTTTGCGATACAAACAACCAATGAATTCAATGGCAGGCAATATTCTGGAGGGGAGTTCCGCTGAGCGGATCTTGATGAAATGCATACACATGCAAATTGAAAAAAAACTTTCTTCGAGACACCTTCTGTGGCTAAGGTGCGTTGTGGCAACTTGGCCCTTGGAATCCATTGAAATTTGGAAAACGCATAGCAAACCCCAAAATTAGAACAATTTTGTTGAACGCTTGCAAAAATAAGAGGCGAGCATCATCCATGAACCTATACCTTCCTCTAAGTTAATAATATAGGATAAATACCCTCTGGTAATTTAACGTAGCTATTGAAAATGGCCATTAGTAGTGGATTTTCCCGTTAAAAATGGTGATTTTCAATAGCTATGTTAGTTTACCAGAGGGTATAGAATGATATGGCCTTTTTAAACCCATCGTTTCTCCTGAATTTACCACGCGAAACGAAGCAACCTGCCTCCTGCAAGCTGCACTTCAGCAGGACCTCAGCCACAATGATGCTTGGACTGAACATGACTGAACCCAGCAGCTCCCTCAAGTGAGCATTCATGGCGAATATGAATATTAATAGATAATGACTATTATAGATCATATTATAGATATCTTAATGGAATAATACATTAATGATCATTAATGTGATTATGTAAAAAATATCAACCTAGATATGGAATGATATGTGCATACAGAACCATATGTCAATGACATTCATTACACAAATCATCCCCAAGGGCACTTGACTCATGCCACTGAAAAGGCCATGGCAATGTCGCCGGTGGACCATTCCTGGCATCCTCCAGGGTGCGGTTGTGAATCATGTCGGTGATCTCCAAAGCGACATGGTTTATAGATGCTTATAGATGCTTATAAAAATTTAATGATATTATGTATATATATATATATGTTTATAGCCATGCATTCTCCGAATATCTCCTAACTCGGGGAGGTACACACGCTTTTATTGCTGATGTCGCCAACAATTTCCTTGTCTCAGCAGTTTGAGGTGGGCAACATGCCACACTTGGGCAGCATAGACATGCTCCCCCTTCAAAACCGCGACTATTGGGATCATCTGCATGTTGCCTTCGTTTCATAGATACGCGATGATACGCGCAGGTTGTAGTAATTCCATAGAATTCCATGTTCTTCCCAAATCCAAGACAGGAGGATTGATTAACACATGGTGGTTTTGGTTACTTATCGCCACCTGTTGGGGAATGTTGGGAGGTCTGCATGTGAGGTCGCAAAAACAATGGTCAACCACATCCGAATTTTGTTTGGTTAAATCTGCATGTCGATGTTCAAACTGTTCAACCACAAAATGTTGATGCTTAAATCCCCTTTCTGGTCGGTTAAATCCCTCCATATTTGCTGGCAACACTTAACATCTGGTTATTTAACATAGCCATGGAAAATCCCGTAAATAAATGGAGGTTTTAATGGGAAAATAATCTATGAATGGGCCATTTTCCATGGCTATGTTAAATAACCAGAGGGTACTCTCACATTCTACCCCGGCCCCCTCCTCTTCGAAGGTGTCATGCCGACTACCTGCAAGCGAAGTAATGTCAAACAGTGATCATCTGCTACTAAAATGGTACCCCCAAGGATTAACAACCCTTGAAGGAAATGTCACCACATCAGTATGCCGCACTTTGAGCTATATATCAGCCATTTAGGATGCAAAATCATATGGGAAGCTATCAGCACTGGTTCAAAGAACATGTTGCAGGAAAACCCTCTATTTCATGGTAAAAACCACGGTTTCCTGTAGATTTTCTCATCAACCAATCTATTGATATCAGCCTGCTGCGACAGGCCGCCCGGTCGGGCCTTGGGTCTTGGACATTCTGATCGACCTGTTCAAAGTTCGGCCAGTGCCCTCTGAAAGGGGTTGCTGGATATTACTATGCATTGTCTATGTGTATATATATATATATATGTGTGTGTGTAGGATTGTGTAGGTAGATAGATAGATGGATAGATAGATAGATAGAGATAGATAGATAGATAGATAGATAAGATAAAATAAGATAAGATAAGATAAGATAAGATAGATAGGATAGATAGATAAATAGATAGATAGATAGATAGATGGATGGATGGATGGATCGATGGATCGATGGATCGATGGATAGATGGATAGATGGATAGATGGATAGATGGATAGATGGATAGATGGATAGATAGATAGATAGATAGATAGAATATTAGATTAGTAGATAAGACTAGATAAGACTAGATAAGACTAGATAAAATTTAGATAATATTACATAAGATTAGATGAATATTAGATGAAGATTAGATGAACATTAAATTAGATTAGATTGAATTATTAGATAATACATATGCACTTGTATATAATTATAATATACATCTACCTGGATACATTGGTTAAGTCACCCCCCTTGCTATTGTGTGGCTAGCCCCATCCTCACTGTCTTTCACTTTCGAGATGCACCGATGTACTGAAACCCCAACCATGTACATTAAAGTAATTAACTCCCAAAAATATGGACAAGTCAAATCCACCTTTTTAGTAGATACATATATATATATTATGTAGTAGCTTCACATATTTAGATACATATTTACGGTAACTAAAATAGCTGTAAATCACCGCTCCATGGGGCTTGCAATATACACACCTATATCAACTGCGCCAGGCCCAGGTCCCTACCTCAAAATGCCATTGCCATGTTGGACAGGCCCTAACTCCGGCTGCCATATTGTCAAAAATAAGGGAAAACATGTGGTGAAATATGATGAAATATGATAGGTATACCATAGATTTCATATGTACCTCACATAATTATATATATATACAAATTCGGTACTTAATGACACAAATTGAAATATTATCTACTTGACACTTGATGCTTGGCAAACTTTTGTCATTCACGTCATATCGTTGATGGCGAGTTTTTGTTAACCCATGAGCCATCATGCGCCGAAATAAAATAATTGGGCTTTCCATGATTTTCCAATTCAATACGGCTGTTCTTCATGGTACCCCTCCCTTCGAGCAAGGCAGCCACTGGGCGCAGGACTTCGCGTTGGGCTCTGGATCTAGATGGTTTTAGATGGCTTGAGGAACACTCTTCCCGTCCTCCGATCTGACTGTCAGCCACTGGTCATTGGTCATGGATGGCCATTGCAATCCAATCTTTCCTAAATCAGTAGGTTTTCAGCCCTGGAGCACTCCGTTTTTGACTCCGGCTGTAACCGCCGCTCGAGTGGCGGCAGTGGCGGCAGGGTGCTGCTCGGTACTAGTGCCGGGCAAGTCGACAGGACACCGAACCATTCGACGAGTAATGCGCGATCATACATGCGCAGCAGCAATGCCTATAGTACCTATAGAACTTTTAGGAAGCGTCGGCAGTCCGCGGCCACATGTGTTACATTTGTGACCAAGTCACCCCCATATCAAAAATGTTCAAAACTTGTCTGTACTCAAATGATATATAATTTAGTTATAAATCAGTCTGATCTAGGAACAGCAGTGGGTTACTAGAAAGAAGCTGCAATGCCGAGCCGGAGCTTCAATGCTCCAACGCCTGTTGATCCTTGCTGCAAGGCCATGTCCATCTGGGATGGTCATTCTCCCTGCCGGTTGACCGATTTGGTGCTAGCCACTTTTGGACAAACTCGTTTTATAACTGGTTGGTGGTTGACCTACCCCTCTGAAAAATATGAAAGTCAGTTGGGATGATTATTCCCAATATATGTAAAAATAAAAAATGTTCCAAACCACCAACCAGATAAATATTCTGGGAAGCCTATGGAAGCCTATGGATACATCCAGTGATTTCATTTGGCCATCTCCACCTAAAAACTCGTCTCCTGTTTTCGTGCCAGCTAAACTGGAGGGCAGTGCCGGGACGTGGTGTCCCTGCAACGGCCATTTTTTTGCGCCGCGGGCACTCCGAATTTCTCGGGTGACTTGGTGAAATATGTGGAAATAGCATGAAAGAATATGAAGGAGCCATACATTGCATATGTTGGACTTCCAGATTTTACCTCGGGGGTACCATAGTCATAGAATCCTTCTGATTCGTGTCGCTCACCAGGACAGCCAGAGCATGCCACGCCCCTTGCATGCATGGAAACCAACGACCAAATGAAAAAAAATGCTGGCGAATCGCTTTCATTCCTGGACTGCTTGGTTGTTTTCGACCCATCCCAAAACATCCTTAAACATATTCGTCAGGAGGCACTCCATATCAGTCCCGGTAGAATGAAAAGCAAAACATAAAGTGTGCACTGTATTTGGATATATTTGGATATATTTGGCATACCACTAAGATCCACTAAGCCAGCCAGTTTTGGCAACAAAAAGTGGGGTAGCTGTCTCAAGCACGGCACTTGGAGGTCCCGTTGGGGTTACACATGGGAATATAACCATAGTTGTAAAGGCCCCTGTATCCCAACTTATGGATATGAACTCACCATAATTATACCGATGAAACTAACCCCAACTGCACCTCCAAACAAATGCCATGCTCAACAACAACCCATGCAGGTGCAGTGCGTCAGTTGGAAAATCTGTCGCATCACGCGAACGCACCTCACCATTCACAGGCCAACAGGCTGGTCAGGAATCAGAAGTGCTTAGTCGGGATTGACCCGATCTGCAGAACTAAATCCATGACTGATGTTTGTTATATGTAAGCATGTGTACATATATATATATAATTACATATGATTATATATGTATATATATGTGTGTGTGCATGTGTCTGTGTGTGTGGGGTCAATGTCCATACACATAGAATTGCAGACACACACACATTATATATATATATACACAACTGTATGTGTATACGTATACAATATGGACATACATACCGTCCATATGAATGAAATTGCTCTGCTGTATTTAAGGAATGGAACAAGCCCAGCTGTGCGATTCAGATCATGACGTGCCCAGTTGTGATCTTCCAAGACACTCAGATAGGGCCTTTGAGACCCATCTCCTAGAGATGCCCACAATCTATCCGTACCCTCCAGTAAATTAACGCAATTCTAAGATATAACATAGTATAATAACATATAATTCTATGGAAATCCAACCATTTGTAGAACATGCATTGGTAAACCATTGGTTTTCCACAAAGGAAATCATGTGTTTTTCTGAAAAAAAGCGTTTCGCCATATTTTTTGGATACAAAAAAAACACAATGATTCAGGCCATAAATTGGGATAGGTTCCCCAATTCCAAGCATAGCTCTCATCATTTTGAGACAACCTCAATCATCAGATTGTCGGTTATATATCCCATGATATTCCCATTATATATTCATATACATATATATATATATCTATATATCTATATCTATAAACATTTTTTTTTATATATTATACCCACATATATATATATGTATATGTATGTATATATATATATATTCTATCATATTCCCATTATTGTTAGTTCATACCTCCACTTTGCATCACAAAAAACCCGGTGGTTCACCTGCGCGGGTCACTGGGGCATGGACTGACACGGCTCCAGGAGTTCCGAAATGGGATCGCGGCCAGGATTCCGCGACTGGCCAAATCTGGTGGTGTCAATCCAAAAAAAAACGATTGGAAAACACATGGAAATAATGGTGATTTATATGGATGATATGGTGATTTACCCCTTAATAATGGTGATTTATATGGATGATATGGATTATATATATGATATAACTACTGGTTGGTGGTTCACCTACCCCTCTGAAAATTATGATGGAGTGAAAGTCAGTTGGGATGATGAAATTCCCAACTGAATGGAAAAATAAAACATGTTCCAAACCACCAACCAGATATGGAAATATCTGTGAGATCCCATTTATATATGAGAAAACAACTGATATCATCATGACAAATAAGGGGATGATACTCAAATATAAGGAAACATATGGTAACATCTAATATTCGTCTGATGTTGGATGAAAGAATGGAGGCAGCACACCAGAACCCAAGGATCCTCTTTGGCGTTCAGGCTTCCTGAGCACTGGGAAACAGTCCAATGAGTTTGCCCAGGCAATGAGTGATGACTACCATCTGGTTATGACTAACATAGCCATGGAAAATCCCTGATATATAAATGGAGGTTTTAATTAATGGGAAAATCATCTATTTCGATTAGGGCCATGGCTTCCATTTTCCATGGCGAACTGTTAGTCATAACCAGAGGCTACATGTTCCAATTCCAATTCCAATGGGTTTTACCATGACCCAACTGACCCAACTGAGACTCCACGCAATGGCCAAGGCTCCAGCCTGTGATCTCGAGTTTGGTCTAAGAGGTCTTTGAGAGCAGGAAACCAGGTCTGTTGAATGAGGGGATATATGGGATATATGTGAGATATATGTGAGATATATGTGAGATATATCATATATCATATATCATATATCATATATCATATACGAATGGTATATAATATATATATATACATGTATGTATATTATCATTATATAATGGCAGTATGTGATGTCTGGGTTTGATGACCATAAATCATAAAGGGGATATAATTAAACACATATATATATATATATGTGATAATAATAATGATGATGGAATATGCAATATGGTGAATATAATAGCCTCAAAATGGCACTGTAATGGGAATTTCATTACAGTAGTCAATCAATTGGAATAGAAGGCATCATGATCATCATATTTTCGGACACAGAGAAAATATAGCAAAATATAGCAAATCAAGACAATCATATTGATTACATCCAAGCACACACTGAACTAGACATCCAATTCTACGTCAAATTTGCATCTTTCCAATTCGATGACTCGGTAAAAATCATCTTTTCGAGACTGAAGAGATGATGCAAAAACCTGCCCCCTGCGATGCAAGGTTATTGCACAACTATTCTCAAATCAAATCAAGCAAAAAAACTCACATATATATAATATTATAATATATACATATATATATATGTTCTGAGAAGCTCAACCTGTAAAATGTCCATCCATCTTTGCAGCTAGAGTTACAGAACTTTCCGGCTGACTGTTTCGTTTCAGTGTTTCCTCAAACTGGAGCATAGCACCAAACACAAAGGGAAAAATAGTGAGTGTACCACCATTGCTAGGCAATTTGAGTGGTGGGTGTTGCTATGTCTGCTATGTGTTTCTGCCTGGAAATTTCTGTAAAAAACGGCCCCCACATGAGAACAGTACAATCCTGCTTAATCACAAGTGGCAAATGACTTTCTACCCTCTGGTAATTTGGCATATTGAAAGTCATCATGTTTAAGAGGCAAATCATCTATATACATGGGCCATTTTTCATTGCAAGTTCTGTCAGTTTTTTCACAATTGGGAAGGGTTACACATCAAAAAAACATGATGTCCAAATTCCATAAAATTGAGTTCCATGGTTTTCCCGGCTAACCCCATTAAAACATATTAAAACTCGGATGTTTCCATGGTTTTCCCATGGTTGGCCGCTGCCAGCCGCCGTGCCTCAATGGCTTCCAACTTTCCAGCAGCCTGAGCATCCACCTTCGTCAGCCTTGGGATGTCAATTTGACCACCAGAAATTGCAATTTAACCAATTGAAAAACCACGTAAAACCCAGATTCGTTGGGATTTTAAGAGCAGAAAGAACAATTTAAACAACAACATTTTCTGACTTAGCTACCAGAAATTTAAGCATCAAAAAAGTGATTTAAAGAAAAATATGTTGATGATTCAGGCATCAGAAACTGGGACGGAACCCGCAGAAACTGGGACCGAACTTACCTTCTTTTATCAGGGGATTCTGAAGATTTGCTAGGTCAGACACACCTGAAGGATGGCCAGATGACTGAAAATCATAGTGCCGGCAGCGACATCATGGGCAGCCATCATCTCAACTTGGCCACCCTAAACCTGTCACCTTCCAAAGGGCACACCGTGCGGCTCTATAGAGCATTGAAACACTATTTTTTGTGTTTTATATGTGTAGGATTGTATAGGTAGATAGATGAATGATTATAAATCCGTATATACATATATTATCATATATATATAATTATATGGTCCCATCCTCCGTCTCTCCACCCCCCCCCATGGGTTGGGGATGGCCGGGGGGGCACTACCAGCCACCGGGGGGGAGGGGGAGGATCTCATAATAGGGGGCATACATACATATATATATATGTATATTTATATATATACATACATACATACACCACATATGTAATGATATATATATATAGATTTATTTAAATTATATATGTCGTATATAAAGCATATACTATACGTACCTAACACTACATAATATTACATACAGAAAACCTAATACTACATAGCTAACGCTACACACCTAATAGATACCTTGTATAACCCAATACATACCTAATTTACTTCCCATTGCATGCCTATATACCTATACACCTACATTAAATTCAACCATATGTAATTCCCAATGCTATTTCTCATCATTTATACTCCTAATATCTGTTGACTACCAATTTACATAACTACCACCCCCCACCATCACAGCCATTCAAACCACGTTTTGGGGACAAAAAAAACCGACCAAAACCAGCAAGTCTCACGCGGCCAGGCAGTGCCTGGCCGCCTAAAACAGAAGCTCTGAGCGTCCCAACGGCACTGGAACCAAGACCTTGGCATTGGGGAATGCCCAGCCCCGTCATGTCATATGCTGATAGTATATCCCATAGGATCCATGTATGCCATATATGGTTACATTTACCATCAATATACCCCCAATGTTAGTATATATACCATACATGGATCCTATGGGTATGATAGTGGAAGTGATATTGTTCAACTGCCTGGGACAGTTTCCATGTTTCGGCTCTTCGAGAAAGTCAAAAAAAAACTTGGTGGCCCGCCATCTCATTCACAGTGGCCACGTTGTTCCTGCACTGGGTGCATGTCAAGCGGGAAACTCGATGAAACTATATTTTGAGGCATGGAACATGTTCCATTATATAGAAGAATTCAGCAGCCCACGGCTCACTCGTTGCCATACCAATTTGTTACCGAATTCTCCAAAATTTGGCGCTGGAAAAATGCGGCTCGAAATGCTGCTGGCTTTTGAGGCAGTCCTGTTGTTACACTTGGTCTGTTCGATCTCATCAGATGTGGTCCAGGTGCCATCTACAATAAATTTGAACTCGTACCTTGGGGAAGGCAGGTGCATTTCCTTTGAAGTCTGGCACCGGGGCAACTGATGAAGTGTAGAATGGGAGAACTTTTGGGACTGGGCAGTGCCTGGAGATGTGGCTGCACGGGTGGGACACTTGTGTGTTGGTCGCCATTGGTGAACCATGACTATCCAAGCTCCAAACTCCCCGGCAGGCAGCAACAACCTCAAAAGTGAGAGGTTGTAAGCCTCAAGTTGGGTAAAGATTTTTTATACATACTATTGGACCGGATTCAGCACATGGGGATGGATGGATACCTATTATTATTATTATTATATACCATATTTGTTTGGGATGAACATCCATTTGCAGCCATATACAGAACCTGTCACAATGCATATTGATGCAATCTTCTTGTGTTGTTCCTTTGCATGCACATTGTCATGTTTATGATTGTCTATCCATCCATAGAACTCATAGAACGCCTTGTATTTGAAGCACTTAAGTATCCGAGAATCCATCAATGTTTGCTGGTTAAATCAATAGTTTCCACCAAATGAAAACCAACGCATTGAAACAAAGAATTGACGAGTGGACACTGTGCAGGTGCAGTTGTTGGGGCCATTAAAGACATGCAAATGGATATCTGTATACATATGTGCATGCAAAAATCCACCCACACACACACACATGATTTAGAGTAATTTAGAGTAACATGCAACCACACACACACACAATCATGCATTGTGGAACTACCAGGGTGGTTATCATATGATGTGACAATTGTTCTGGATCTTACATAAATCATCTTATATCACTATCACAAGATACATCATTGTAGATCCATGATGCCCAACCACAGTAGTTCAACCAGTTTCATACCTATCATCTTGGTTTTGCTACTGCATCTCAATTCATGCCATTTTGTAGATCTGTAGTGGATGGATTGTCAGGAAAAAAGGATCCATCTCGGCGTCCAGCATGATCCGGTAGCCAATGCCAGGGGAAGGCCTCACTGGCAACGTGGGTGAAGGGAAACAGGGAAACTGTCCCGGGTATGATGAAACTCATCAAACTGATCTACCATCTGGTTATTTAACATAGCCATGGAATATCACGATTTGTAATAGGTAAACCATCTATAAATGGGCCATCTATCTGGGTAAATTATATTAAATTATAATAATTCACTAACCTGAAATAAGGCCATTTGGGGATGATTTCCCTTACTAACCATGATTCCAGTGAGGTCGCAGTGAGGTCGGTATAATTTACCCAGATCTATACCATGGCTATGTTATATAGTCATAACCAGAGGGTATTTCTGAAAGCAGTTGACACAGGGGGTCTTGATGAACTGATTCGTGGTCTATTTCTTTACCGTAAATTACCGTAGGGGAAAAAAGACTGCAATGAGGGAATCCCCATCAGAAATAGATCAGTTTCGTCCAACGATCCGAATTGGCCATGATTGGCCACGATATGCCAATCAAAAGGCCACCCTGAAGCTGACATGAGCAAGAGTAGGCACATGTTTTGGTGGGATCTTTAGATGATTCACATTTTTTTGAGCTAATTCTTTGTTTATGTGACTTCCAGCAGGTCTGAGTACATTTAGGGCATCTTCTCTGATCATATTTGATTGTAGTTGGCTGGTTTTTTTTCCACAATCCACGCTTCTGTTGGTTGGTTTTTGCACATCAGGATCCACACATTGATCCCGATATCTCACACGCAAACACCTCTGTGGATAATGATTGATCTTATCAAACATAAGAATGTTCAGTGTCATGCTTCTTTACGAATAGCCCCCGCATCTTATTTTGGTTCAATTTCTAGTCACAACTAGTCACGACATCGTACTGTGTGGTTCCCATGTCAGTTGTTTAAATGCCCATAGATCTTCCAAAGCGAAAAAAAGGAAGTAACTATCATGTGGAACAAGTCAAAAGGTTGACTTGCTAACAAAGTAATGCGGAAAGCCCAAGAATAAATCATGTCATATCCCAATTTAGGCTATTTGACCTTTCGGGGAATCGTTAAAACACGTTAAAACACATACCCATTTTGAGGGATTACCTTGTGAAATCAGCGACCCCGTGCATCCCAGCAATAAGTGGTGTGGTAAATGCTGTTATCTTATATAATATTGATATCTTTGTTTTACTTGTAAACACAAGTGCTCTACAACATTGTTCAAAGTTTGGGTTTACCACAATATCCTCCATTTGGCTGGTTGAACATGACCATCATTCATCCCTCATGTTGATCTTGCGGGTAAACATCCGCACTACCCCCCCCCAATTGTAAGCTAGGTGCTTCACACACATTCACATTGGTTGAAATCCCCATCCCCATCACCTATCATAGATATATCTGATTATCTACCTAAGTATTCATATCTACTATATCTATCTATCATGTTATATCTATTCAACTAATTATCATAGATATATCTAACTAAGTATTCATATCTATTATCATATCTAACATGATATATACGTATATGTATATATATATGGGTAAATTATCATAATTCACTAACCTGAATTAAGGCCATTTGGGGATGATCCCCCTTACTAACCATGATTCCAGGGCTCGGTCGTAGTGAGGTCGTTATAATTTACCCATATAAATAATATAATATACATATAATATAATATAATATACATAAAATATAATATAATATACACATATATATATAATATTAATATACATACAATATAATATACATATAATATAGTATGATATAATATAATATAATATGATATAATTTAATATAATATAACATAATAAAAAAGAATATACATATAATATAATATACATATATAAAAATATAATATACATACAGTATAATATACATATATAAAAATATAAAATACATATAATATAATATACATATATAAAATACAAAATACATATAATATAGTATACAAATAAAATAGTATACATATAAAAAAAATATAAAATATATAATATACATATAATATAATATATATATATACATATGTAAATAATATCATATACATATAATATAATATACATATATATATATACAATATTAATATACATAAAATAAAATATCATATAATATACATATATAAATAATAAAATGTACATATAATATAATATACATATAATATAGTATACATATAATATAGTATACATATATATATAAATAAGATAATATACATATAATATAATTTACATATATATATATATAGATATAGAATACAATATACATAAAAAAAAATATAATATACATGTATATACAATATTCATATACATATAATATAATATAATATACATATATAAAAATATAATATACATATAATATAATATACATATATGGTCAGTGCCGGAATTATAGAACGGAAGTTGAGGAGGACGAAGGTACGGTTATTTACCGTACCCTGTTGTTCTATAATTCTGTTTTCCTCGGAAGGTATGAAAAAAAAATGTATCTGATCTTCCTCCTATTTTTTTTCGTCGTTCTATAATTCTTGTCGGAGCGCTGTTGTTCTATAATTCTGTTTTTCCCCATTTTTCTCACATTTCCCATTTTCGTTCTATAATTAATTTTCCCCGGGCCCCGTTCTATAATTAATTTTTCCGTTCTATAATTAATTTTTCCGTTCGACGGAAAAATTAATTATAGAACGGAAAAATTAATTATAGAACGGAAACATTAATTATAGAATGGAAAAATTAATTATAGAATTATAGAACCTCTTCCGGGGTCCCAGAAAGAGCTGAGCAAACTGCCTTTTTTCCATCCCCCTCAAGACTTGTATTGTAAACACCAAAGTTCGGTTATTTACCGTACCCTGTTGTTCTATAATTCTGTTTTCCTCGGAAGGTATGAAAAAAAAATGTATCTGATCTTCCTCCTAATTTTTTTCGTCGTTCTATAATTCTTGTCGGAGCGCTGTTGTTCTATAATTCTGTTTTCCCCCATTTTTCTCACATTTCCCATGTTCGTTCTATAATTAATTTTCCTCATTTCCTCATCAAATCCCCATTAAATCCTCATTTTATCCGCGTTTTATTATCATTTCCTCATCAAATCCTCATTTTATCTTCATTTTATCTTCATTTTATCCTCATTTTCTCATCAAATCCTCATTAAATCCTGATTAAATCCTCATTTTATGTTCATTTTATCTTTATTTTATCATCATTTCCTCATCAAATCCTCATTTTATCTTCATTTTATCCTCATTTTATCCTCATTTTATCCTCGTTTCCTCATCAAATCTTCATTTTATCTGCATTTTATCTTCATTTCCTCATCAAATCCTCATTAAATCCTCATTAAATCTTCATTTTATAGATTGTATATGTACAAATATGCAGTAAATATCATGTCAGTGCCAGAAATTATAGAACGGAGCCAGGAGGACAAAAAGTACGGTAAAATACCGTACCTTTGTCCTCCTCCCCGTTCTATAATTAAATTTCCCGACTCCGCTCCGAATCGGAACCCGGAGGAGGACAAAGGTACGGTATTTTACCGTACTTTTGTCCTCCTGGCTCCGTTCTATAATTCTGGCACTGACTGTAATATAATATACATAAAATAACACACAATATAATATACATATATAAAAAATATAATATACATACAATATAATATACATATATATACACTATAATATACATATATAAATAATATAATATACATACAATATAATATACAGATATATATATATGTATAATATAATATACATGTATAAATAATGTAATATACATATAATATAATATATAAAAACAAATATAATATACATATAATAACATATACATATATTTAATAATATACATATATATATACAATATAACATACATATATATATACATATACTATAATATACATATATAAATAATATAATATACATACAATATAATATACATATATATATATATATATAATATAATATACATGTATAAATAATGTAATATACATATCATATAATATATAAAAACAAATATAATATACATAAAATAAAATATACATATATAAATAATAATATACATATATATACA